ACATTTTTATTATATTTGACATCCAGATGGGATTCATTTTTGATAGTGCTTCCCACAGCATTGCAATTACAACATTAATGTCTTTTTTGTGAGGAGTTCAAGCATTGTCCCAGATATAAAAAAAATCATCTCTCGTCATAAATATTAAAAATCCCTTAATGAAGGATTTGAAAAAAAACATTCTTTGCTACAAGATTTATGGAAATATTTTTAATTTAAATTTATAAACATATTGTTTAACCCGTGAGATCGTCCAGCATAGATTCCAGAGTTTTTCACCCACTGAACAAATTGTAAGAAATGATTATGAAGAAGGATGTCCTCATTTTTAATTAGCAGATAATGGCAATATTAGCCATTTGCCTACAAAGAAACATTTGACATTCATTGATTGAGTAGCCAGTTCAGCTTTTAGATGAAATTTATAAAACCTTTCTCTTAAAACAATTTTTCAGGAAAACAGGTTTCTTAAGTCCAGTAGCTGTTATCACTCTTTCCTGTATTTATGGGGGTTTTCTTCCTAAACTTTATGAAGTAGTGTGAAATATTAACATCTTGATTAGGGACAGAGTGATTAAACAATATTTGTTAACCAAGGATTGGGAGAATTAGCACTAACAATCCCCACAATAGTCAGATGAAAGATAAAAGAACATAAAAAATACCATAATTCTAATTTTTGATAGAAATTTTCTATAAAATCTGAAAACAAATTTACACATCAATGAAACATCCCAAAAATAAAAAAATAGCAACTTACAAATAAAGTAAATATAGATAAAAATAATAAGACTTTTTTTCAGCTACTTTATATTGGAACTAGCAGCATGACCTGGCGTTGCCCGTGCTTGATTCCAAAAATTGTACGACTCATACAGTAATCGCTATCACATGACTTAAGATATTTTTGCCCTTCCTTGACTTTAAAGGAGTGCCCTTTGCTGTGCTGATGTTGCTACATGCCTTACTTCTTGCCTATCTCACACTTCAAATTTTTTCTAAGCTCTATACTAAACATTAAATCTGTTACGAAAAAAGAACTAAACAAAATGAACACAAAACAATCAGCTTTAAAAAAAAGACTCGTAACTGGAAAAACCGAATGAAAAAAGAATGTTAACAACAAATACTTTTTCACACCCCACCCGATTCTGCGGAATCAGAATCAACGTTGAGTTTAAGCAAGCAAATGAGACATTTGGAGTAAAGTGCCATGCAGATTTAAATTTTTTCCACTTGTGACGAATGCAGCTATCGATTTTTTTTTGCATGCTAGCATGCTAGTTAACATTCATGTCAATCAGCTGTTGGCTCTCACTCTGGCCAGTACAAAATGGCTGCAAACTACATGAAAACTACCATAGAAGCATGAAAAAATCAATTATTTCCACTATCGATGGGAGTTGGGAAATGCAACATCAGTCTTAGCCTTTCCGCTAACTTGGAGCATGTGCATGTAAATTTTGGTGCAAATCTGTCGAAAATTGCAGCCGTGCATTCGTTACACACACACACACACACACACACACACACACACACACACACACACCCTGCCTTTTATAGATAGAGATTTTGTTATGAATCTAACAATCAAAATGAGTATACAAGACTGTGGTTAAAGCCAATGGCAATTTTATTGAATAAATTTACTCTTTAGTATTTCAAGATATTTTTGTGTAATTTTGATAAACATATCTGTTAAAATGAGATGTCAATGTTATTTTCATTTTTGTGCAATTTAGATGACAATTTATCCATAGCACCCTATATTAGTTAAAAATTGATAATAATAATTAATCATTTCAACTGAATGCAACATAGATATGGATATTTCTTGTCAACTTAGTCATGTGACTTATTAAATATATCAGATATATATCATATATAAAACATCTCCCTTGCTGTTTGCTGTGTAATGAAGTTATGTAATTTGAGGCAAGGAATACAAAGATCAATATTGACTAGAATAAGCCATTTAAATATCAAATTACACTATAATGCTGAGTAAATGAGTTAGTAGGGAATTCAGAGAACCTATTTGTCACTTGTAAATCAGAAAGCAACAATGATCTCTTGAACTTAACATGCCTTATCGGCTGATGACAAATAATTGCTCTTCTGAACTAATTAAATGCAATAGCATTGACTGATAGTAAAAGCAACAAATTGCATGGAAAACTAAACATCAGATAGAAAGCCCTTTTATTAAATTTTCTGAAGTCCCAAAAGTCATAAAAACACTTAACAGAGCACTATTCAGTCTCTTTTCCATTTTTCTTTTTCAGCAGCCTCTACCTCACAGCCTTTTTATTTTTTATTTCAGTGGGCTCTACTGTCATGACCAGCTCTTCTTCACTTTTCATTTTCAGTGGCCTCTACTTTCAAGTCCAGCTCACAGGGTTACACATAACCCTTGCTACAGAAGACAAAGCCTGTCCTGGCAGCTTGACTCATATTTCTCATTCCTCCTCTGGAACTGGCAAAGAAATCTCTATTTGAGACACCTACCAAAGGAAAACTACACCCAACCCTTGCTGTCCTAGCAGTTTCACACTCAGATTTCTTGTTCCTCCCATGGAAACTACCAGAAAAATCTCTCTCAACAAAGTCAACTACTCAAGAAATTTGTTAACTGGAAAACCCCATTTTTTCCCCCACAAAAATCTTTTTTAATTCAATCTCAATCTCTTCAAACCAAAAATAAAAGCTATTGAACAGTTATTTCATGCTTTGGATTTTGTTCATTCCACTCTCACTGCCAAGCACAAACACACATGCAACAGAGAAGAGTTCCTCTCAAATTAACTGCAGTGCAGGGTATGGATTCTATGATTTCAACTGAAGCTGATTAAAAAATAAAAACAATGTTTCAGCTGTCAAATTCAGCAGCCTTCTGTTGCATTTGATAACCATTTTGAGTTTCAAAATAGTTTATATAATGCATAAGGATAGTTTTTTCACATTTCACTGTCAATTGGATATAGTTAATTATTCTGTGTTAATGTTGTTGTCTCTCTCATTCAACAAAAATATAACTTCCACTGCCTGATCCAGGGACTGAACAAACAATCACCAGGTAACAAGATGTATATAAGCAAAAATGTTATGCACTCAAACAATCTGGTAGTTGAATTTTGAAGCCTAATATTTGTTCTTTTCTAATTAAAATCAAAAATTGATGTTAATTTCTATGCTTGCCCTACTGAAATTATTAGAAGTAACTATGTGCATTTATTCTTTCAATTATTATTATCTTATTTTATAATATTCTTCCATCTTTTATTCTAAATTCATTCTACCTGAGTTGTTGATGCTTCCCTTTTCTCTACACATGATCAGCCATACTGCATTTTATAGTATTCTTATGAAATATAGTCACACTGCTTCATGGACATTTGCATTCATACACTGATTTCACATACCTCAATGAAATTGGTTATTCCAGGAGGTTAATATACCATGTCATCAGACCAAAATTCCCTAAATTATTAGGCTGAGTCATAAATAATTTCTGTTTTATTCAACAATTTTATTCTTCAAAAAATAAACCACAATCAAATTTTATCCAGTTATATCAGATCATTGCAAAAGTTTGTGCCTGATTTTCATTGCTAAAACCTTTCATTGTTTAGTTGCGAGTCAGACTTTGTAGAATGTTCACATATTGTCCACAAATGAATGACTTAAAGATGAAAGTTGAAAATTTGCACTTTAGCCATATTATGCTCTATGAATTTCAGAAAAGAGTAAGTGTCAGAACTGTGACAAGAAACATTCAGAAGGTTTACTTGGATTATGCATCAGTGGTTCAGATGGTCAAAAAGTGGTTTGGTAGATTTTGTCAGGTGATTTTAACTTAAATGATCAACCACACACCAAGCAATGAAGTGACTCTACTTACCATCATAAAGAATAAACAAAGATTTTGATGTAAGGGATTACTAAGAGTTTGAAAATTGATATTTTAAATGCCTTTCACCATTTGAATAGACTTGGGTTCAAGAAAAATGGTTGATTTTGGCAAATTTTTCCACCTCTACAGAACAATTTAAATGATAAAAAATTGGACTCTGTACAGTCAAAAACTACTTCACAATCACCTTCCAAATAAAAACACAAAGTTTCTATGAAAATGGCATCAACAAGCTTGTAGAAAAATTGGAGCCTATATACTTGACTAATAAAAGTCATTTTTTGAGTATGTAAAATTTTATTTCTAATTTTTTAATCAGGCACAAACTTTTGCAATGTTCTAATATATTTGCTATTATTTGAAATGACTGGCTGCCACTCATCAGGTAGCTCTTTCACACCTTTTCAGTAAAATTTCACAGATTTTGTTGTAAAAAGTTTTCAATAAACTCTTGAATCAGGTTTTCATTAGAGAAAATTTTCTCCATCAAAACATTTTACATTGATCATGTAATCAGTTGGTGCAAGGTCATATGAATAGAATAGCCCAATTAAGCTCTATAATTTTTTGTTATTTTTGTGTTGTCATGGATGAGAACAACAGTTTTCCTTTAATCTACTGTATATGCTGCCATTGCTGAACAAAAACAAGGCATGTTAATTTTAACACTACCAAAACAAAACAGCTTCCTTTTAATCATCTGAAGGAAACTTTTTTGCCTTCCTTCAGCATGGCTGATGCTAACCTCTAGGAGAGGGACCCTTTGTGCCTTCACAGGCTAAAATTTTCTGCTTATATGAAGTGGAGAGATTATATTGAATCAATTACTAGGTCTGCTGCTACTCTGTGATGCTAGACAATTTTTTCCTCACTAGAATCTATCTTACACATTTATAAGTCTACCATTCGTCTATGCATTCATTACTGCTGTTACATCTGGTCTGGTGCTTCTGCTACGTTCAATCTAGTCTCCTATGTGCTTTGTCCCTTCAGCATGTAGGTGATCATGGCTCTCCACTATTTCCTGTCATGTCTCTCCGATTTCCAATTTTGAACCATTATCCATTACACCACCTGCACATCCAAGCTTACAGCACCTGGTATTCTCAAGCAGTCACCCATCTAGGTACTGATCAGCCTCAACATTGCTTAACTTTAGTGATTGTATGGGAACTGGTGTTTCAATGTGATGTGGTTGTAAGCCTATGATTGTTAAAGATGTCAAAAATATTTTATAGAATAAGTGAACACAACTGTTGGAGATGTCAAATATATTTACAGTGTCTTAAAGAATAGTGAATTATCATTTCACTGCTGCAAATTAAACATGTTGATTAATCACATTGTTTTAAAACAAAAAATATATATACAAACCTGAATACTGAAAATTGGAAAGGATTCACATTATCAGTTGCCTCTTTTGGTGTCAATTTCTGTTATAAAATACAAAACTTAGTTGTACTGATTTATGTTGCAGTAGCTATCTATCAACTACTTCTGAGTGGTTATGATGAGGTGATGCTGAAAAGTTCTTGACCTCACTAACAAGGTGTTGCTTTCAATCTTATTGAGAATGACTGCAAAATACTTTCCCCTCCCATTTTGTAGGCAGAAGCACACAAATGCATGCTGGGATTTTTTTCTAGTCAATAAAATAGGCTGATTCATGGTTTAATCTGGTTTAGTCCTGATCTGTCTTGTCAGAATGCTACAATTGTTTGTCTGAACTTGTCTGTTGATGCCAATTCTTACTTTGGGAACTTTTTGCCATATTACTGTTGATTTGTCTTGCATATATCGTTTCCTTGCTTTATATTCTTTTTTGCCCTGTTTCTCTCTTTTCTTTTTCTTGTTATTGCTTATTGCAAACTTTGTCAACTTTGTTGGATGTTTCTGTTGTTTATTTTTCATCTGACCATGGCTACTCATTCCACACAAAGGAAATGACCTTGTACTATGAAACTTTACCATTCCACATATTCACCTCACAATATAATACACTTTGTACAACTATTCTAAAGTTTCTTTATCTTTCTTTTAATACCATGGCTCTTTAGGGTGTAAGTAATACTGGCTCTTCACAGACTCCTTTTTCTTTCTCTCTGTACTATTGTACTCATCTTTGTTGTTGATACTATGCTTCAGTCAATGTGCCCTCTAGCCTTCATTAGGTATATATCAAGATGGATAACCAGGAAATTCCTAACTGAACCCTTTATTTAATCTAGAGGGGTAGACTGTTCTCATTTCAGTGTCCCTGTCTAGAGATATAGTTCTTATTTTTAGTACTATTTAGTTATTGCTTGCCTGCTTCCAATGAATCCCAGTACATACTGCCAGGGATTGAACTCACAATTTCTACGAATTCATGAACCAACACTTTATTCCACTAGATTATTGTTTTTCTTTATTATCAACAAATTGCCATAACTTCTTGGGAAAGTGGAATTGTTTACCATTACCTTTTTATGGTTTTGAATTCAGAGTAGTCCTTCTTTTAGAGTGGCTGCCATGCAAAGCTGGAGAAACCAATCTATCCTACTATTTAACTTGCAGATGGTTAAGAGAAAAAATGAATTTGTGTATTTCCAAAGAGCATTAGAATAGACAAGGCTGAAATTTGAACTTGGGTTTGCCAATTCCAGATTCTGAACATAACAAGTATCTTTAACCCTTCCAAAAAACATTCTGATGTTTGGGCACTGAAATTTTGTTCCCATTGGCAGATTTACCTATAGGCCTCAAAATCTAGGGGGCATCCAGCCAAATTGTATATTATTTTTGACACTGTCATAAGTCTTTCTTATACATGCTGTCATAATGAATTGTAGACTCTTCAGTAATTTTAAACCATCCTCAGCTTTACTTTTGAGGGGGCTACACAATTGGAATAGCCTATTGTCTCTCTTCATCTAAATCCAGTGATGGTTGTTCTGCTATCACCATCCTTTTTAGAACATTGAAAAAATTCCTTTTTTTCAAAATCCTTTGGCAGAGGGAATAGCCAAATGGAGCAAAGTCAGGTGACAATGCACTCAAGCTCTAAATTCTTCTAAATATCTTATCATCCATGTAAGTAGGTGCATTGTCTCCCTGAAGTTTTCTTTATCATTTTTCTTTAGAGAAGAATTCTTTAACACTTCTGTCAGTCAATAAAAATACCTTCCTTATTTCCCCAAAATACCTTCCTTATTTCTCCCCAAAAATTTCCTGCTGACTTTTGTTACTCTTGAATTTCTTTTGAGAACCTGACTTCTGCAATGACATGAAATACTGTTTGGCCTCTGGATCATGGTGCTGTAACCAAGTTACATCAACAGTAACAAAACGTTCCAAAATATTATCACTAGATCAATGAAAATGTTGAATAATCAACATGCAGAAGTCTATGTTGTTTTGGTTGGCATTCAAACAATTTGGAACTTACTGGGCTGGTAGCTTCTATATAACCAATTGCTCATAAATTATCAACCAAACACAATTCCTAGTTATTTCTAATAGGAGGTGACACTTGAACATTCAAGACTGTGAGGCATCTTGGGTCTCAAAATCTTCTTGCTGGAAGTTAGCAAACCATTTTTGCATAGCTGAGTATGATGGGCAATTGTCCTCCAATGCTTCCATCATACAATCATGGATTTTCTTTGAATTTTTTGCAGGAACAAGATAGCCTTGAGTTCGATACTTGAAAATTCTACTCTTTCTGTAACACAGTTCAGTTGATGATCTGAAACAAATTAAAAAATAAGTGCAAGAGTCCTGCAAATTGGCACGTTACAACTGGCATTTTACAATTAGCACTTTACAATTGGCACTTTACAAATTGGTGCCTTACAATTTATGAATGAAAACTCTTTTCAGTTAGTGGCAAAATAAAATTCAAATTTTGAAAAGCCAGTTGAACTAAGAAATTTCCAACATCATCTGTATTTTTCTTTTTAACCAAGATACTTAACTCTTTAAATTCAAAGTCAAAAAAATATAAACTTTGCTTTCAGGTTTGGTTCTTTTTCTACTGAATTCTTTTTCATGCATTTCTTATTAATCAAGGAAAGAATTTTACAAGGAAACGATACAGAACAATTAATAATCATCTCCATTCCTAAAAGAGAAACAATATTTTAGCAATAATGATTACTTTATGAGTGTAAAGAATGAACAGAATGGTCATGTGACTGGATTGAAAACTCATTGTCTCCAACATTCATGAAGAGAAGCTCATAAAACTGTGTTAATTTACTAAAACAACCAAAAAGAAAACTGTTTGGCTAATAACACTCCAAAGAAAGAGAATACGGAGTTGGCTTTTCAAGAACAAACCGAACAATAATGTTCTCTTATCAGTGTTCAGTTAAAACCAGCAAATGAGGACTTGTTTCCAAATTGAAAAATAAATAAAATATATATATATATAAAGAAGACAGTAATGTAATACTGATATATATATATATATATATATATATATATATATATATATATATATATATATATATATATATATAAATGTATGTGTGTTAGATTCATCAGTGATGTTTTGTTGATTATGACTGATTGGTTCCTGTTGTGGCTGGCAGCAATGGAGACCCTGTCTCCAAATGGGATCTGAGTTGCCCGCAGGAATTCACTTGATGTTGTGGGTTTTAACTGAATGACATGAAAGCAGAAAAAAGCAAAGAAAAAAATATAGGGGAAAATAAGAGAATGAAAAGAATAAAACAAAAAGCAAAAAGCGAAAATATGTAAAAGGTAAGCAAATGATGTATATTTAGATATGCATGTAAGTAGATAATGTATGTGCTCACATAAATATGTACGTGGAGAGATGAATGTATATACATTTAAATGAGGCAGAAGAAATAAACCTGTCTAATTAATGTCTAGGAATACAAATTCTCCTAATATCTGGTGCAGAAAAAAAAGGAGGTAAATTTTTCCAACCAAAATTCATTTTAATCATGTTTATTCATGCAACAAAATATAAAATTTATATAAATAAAATGAATCTGATTAGCAGATAAGAGAAAATTCCTTTGTTTATATATATGTGTGGATCTCTCTATCTGTCTCTCTTGTTTTCTCTCTCTGCCTCTTTATATATATATATATATATATATATATATATATATCCTAAAAATATACTAAAAATGTTGATTTAGATTTGTCACTGCTAAAATAAAGCCTGTGATTGGGTTCATAACCTGTTGAGGAAGCAGGCATAGTTAAGTGGAATCGACAAAATCCTCAATAACAATAAAAACATGAAGGAGAAAAGGGTAAAATGATATGATATACGGCAATGTAATGCAAAGCAAAGCAACTATAAAACAGTAACAAAATAATAAGTTCTCAAAATATAGTCTTCACACGCAAAAGGGATACAGTCAAGTGGTTATAGCTTTCTGACTTTGAGACAAAAAAGAAAAAATGTGTCTATTTTTTTGGCTCAGAGGAAATCGCAGCATTCATCTGTAAGATGTGTTTATACATTTAGGAAGGTGGGAGGACTTAATTTTAGTTTTGTTATATGAGTAGACCTGATTCTGTGATATCATCAAAAAAGATCTAAGAATACAAGTAATAACCCCAATTCTAGTTGACAACAGTTGTAATAAGACATAACAAATTATACAATAGAAACTATAACTGATGCATAATGTTCTTGGGAAAGGCATAAAGTTAAAATCTCACCCCCCACACACACACACACACAAACACACCACCATTACCAACAAAAAAAAAAAATGTATTCAATAAAACAAATTTGAGAGAAAAAAAATTCTGCTTGGTCTTGATCAGTCAATCATCTTTTTTTTTTAAAAAATAGCAAATTTGATTTATACAGATTATATTCTTTGCATTAGACAACCCTCTCCAGTTATATATTCAGAAAAACTTTTACAGTTTGTTGCAATAACCACTAAAGAAAAAATCTAATCGAAATAGATAGAAGACTATTTCAAACAAGTCTCATAGTAAAACTTTTATTTTTTTATAGTTATTTTTTTGTTATTGGGTCTAATGAAAACCTGGTCAGTAGCAGCAATATAAAATTCAGCCAATACAAGACACTAATTCTTGCATTCTATTTTGAGTTACTTTCCTATTATGAACATGGCAAATTACACAATAGAATCAATTTATTTGCATTGGGCCTAATGTGTATTTCCACAACAGACATGCAACAATAGAGCAAGA